TTTCTTTTCTTTTCTTTTCTTTTCTTTTCTTTTCTTCTTTTTTCTTTTCTCCCGGAGTGCAGGAGCCCCGCTCACCTTCCGGCTCACGTCCTCAGGCCCCCCTAGTCCAATCTAGAGGAATTTTTAGCGTACATCGTCCGTCTGCGCCTGAGCATCCTTCCCTGCAGCCTGTTTCTCACCATTTTTTTTTTTTCTTTCGAAATTTTAACTTTAAAAGTTGCGGTAAAGAAGTTGCCCTTGCTCGCTCCACACGAGCATATCACACACACACACACACACACACATAAACATCGTTAATTTAAAATACCAGGGAAGGAGGTAGCACCTGTGCAGCCCCGCGCTTGGGAGACGTGCAGACTTTTCTAAATTAAAGAGAGTTTCTCCCTGTGCTTTCTTTCTTTCTCTGCCGTGTCAAGAACCCGACCCTGTAATTCTCTTCGTGCCTGCTCCGCATGGATGAGTCTTTAGGGAACAAAACTAAGAGCGGCAAAAACTCTCTCGTGAGCCACTGTCAGAACAGAAATAGCCTAACGTTTCGCTGGACATCTTGTTCCAAGACTTCCCTTATTTTTTAGCGGAAGTTAGAAGCCGACCCTTCCTAATAAACCCCGCTCCAGAGCGCGCAGCAGCGGTCCTAGAAATAGCCACGTGCGGGGCCGCTCCGCGCTCCCGGATGTCCCGTGCAGCGGCCGCGCCACCCCCGGACCCTTTGTGAAAGAGTCCTAAGGCGAGCCCACATTTCCAGTCTCCTTAAAGCCCCTCCTGCCCTGCCAGCAGCGCTGCGACGCCGAGCGAGCTGAGGGCGCTGCTGTGCGCGGCCACTGCGCGCACCCGTGCGGGAGCGGGGTGTCGTGCGCGTCTCGGAGAGTGTCCTGGCTCGCTCCCTTAGATCTTCCCTTGCACTTCCCTCAGCCCCTCTGTTTTCGGGCGCCTTCTCTGTCCTGGGTTTCGCAGGGCTGCATGGTCTCGAGGAAAGTGCCCTCCCCGGATAAAGCACCCGGGTCCTCGGCCTGCCCCACATCGCCCGCAGGCACCGACCACTTTTCAGTCCTTCACCTTTATTTATTTTCCCCCCTTCTTCTGTCTCCTCTCTTTTTCTGAAGGCGCCACCAGCTCAGCGCCCTGCAGCTCTTCATGTGCCGCCTGGTTCCCTCTGCCTCCCCCGGCCTCAGCCCTTCTGGGCAGGACCAGGCCTCCCTGGTCAGCCTAGCGCCYGCGGGACGCATGTTTAGAAGCCGAAGCAATGCCTTTGATTGAGCTCTCGCAGAAAATCCTGCTGCAAAATAATAGTAAAAATAATAATTTCCAAAAACATATCCCATTAGGAAATGACAGTTCGGTTCCTCGACGATGCGGCTTTCRCTTTTATTGCTGCAGCTCCAGAAAGGTGGAGGAGGAAGGATGATGTCTGAGAAAGAGCCCCTTGCCTTTCCCGGTGCCTCAGAGCCGGGGAGCAACGAATATCGCAGCGCTTCCCTTCCCCGGGGGGGAGGTGGGCGATAAACCTSAGCAGAGCCGGCAGCTGCCAACCAGGCCCCCGCACCACCCCCGGATCCTGCTCCTCCGGATCCCCCGGATCCTGCCGCTCTCCCGACTCCACCGGGACAGGTCCGGGAGGGTCTCTGAGTCCCAGAGTCCCGGAACCGCACGGAGCCCCTCTCAGCCCCGCATAGCGTCACCGTGACGTCACAGAGCGCCCCCGGGCCTCACAGTGACTCTATGACGTCACAGAGCCCCCCATGGCAAATCCGAGCCAAACAACCCAAAACTTCCCCTCCTTAAAAAAGAAACAAACAAAAAACCACCAACGACCTAAAAAATCCGCCTCACACTTGCATTAAAGACAAAAATGCCTCTCCCCCCGCCAAGAAAAATAATATATAGAGAGATAAATATTCGTAATATATAGTATACATAATATATATTATGTATAATACATATCGTATATTATGTATAATATATATACAAGCGCATAATCACATAATACATTATATATACATATAAGTGTGTGTGTGTGTATATATATATATATATATACACATATGTACGCACATTTGTCTCTACAACGGTAATTGGTCACTTCCTTCCCCAAGGTGCAACTTCGCATAGTCAAATCCGGAACTTGTCAGCGGCACCGTTATAAAAGAGGAGGGRAAAAGGRAAAAAATGTGGAAAARTAAAAAAAAATAAAGAAAAGGCGACGGCTGCATCTCAAGTCTCAAGGCGAGGAGAGGCGCAGACAGTGACTGCCTTTGAGCGGGGCATAAGAAGCCAGAGTAGCTTCCTCAACCCTCTCCTCTGGTCAACAGATTGACGTGGTTACAAACCATAGCAAACATTTTATTTACAGGAGTTATATATATATAATATATATATATATTTATATATTTTGTCAGTGCAGTATTTCTTGGCCGGATTATTCAAAGCAACACGTTGAAACCAATGAGGACATCGGCAAAATACTTCACATTGTAAAAATGTCTGGGGCGGGGGGCAGGGGGTTTCAGAGCGCATTCCCCGAGTCCCGCGCTCCGACTTCCCTGGAGAGAACAAGAGGCGGGCGGGGAGTGGATAGGGTGGAAGGAGAATAAAATTAAAAAAAAAAAAAAAGAAAAAAGGAAAAAAAGAAAAAAAAAAGGGAAATTAAAAAGAGGGAGAAGTCCTGCTCTGCCGCCTCTCGCACAACCGTCCGTGTTCGGAGCTGCCTGAGCGCCGCAGGTCGCGCCGGGCCGGGCGCGGGCAGAGGCAGGGGGGTCYCGTTGCGCCCCTCGAGCTCCGCGGCCCGCGGGCGGCTCGGGGCACGCGCCGTACCGCGCGCGGAGGCGCCGGGCCGCCCCGTCTATAGCGCGGGCGGTGGCTCGGGGCTGGYGGCGGGCGGCGGCGGCTCCGCGAGGCCGGGGCCGCTCTGGGGCTGGCTCCGCTCGGCGCCCTCAGTCCTTTCCGTGTCGCTGGGCACCATGTCGAGGGAGTCCGCGTCGCTGCTGTCGCTGTCGCCCTCGGAGCGGCTGGGGCTGCGCTCGGGCTCTCCCGGGGCCACGGGCGGCGCTCCGGCCCGCTCGGCCGCCGCCTCCTTGTCCTTGTCCTTCTGGGCCTGCGCCTCCTTGGAGTGCCGCCACTTCATGCGCCGGTTCTGGAACCAAACCTTCACCTGCGGCACCGYGCCGCTTCAGAGTCGGGACGGGACAGGCCGAACCGGCCCGAAATGGGCCCGCCCCTCCACACTGCCCCACACCGCTTCACATTGACCCGCACGGACCCSCACCGTCCCGAATCGACCCGCACTGTCCCATGGCCGCCTCCGCCCTGAGGGGGCCACGCAGAGCGCCGGCCCTACGGGCAGCGCGGGCAGCAGAGCAACCACCAGCCCCGTTTTCCGCAGCCCCCACCCTAAGGCTACTGTCCCCCTCGCTTCCTTCTTTGCATGTTTAAATACAGCAGCGTTTGTTTATTCCTTGTTTTCATTTTCTCTCTCTCTGCGCGCTCTCTCTCTCCTTTTTTTTTTTTTTTTTTTTTTTTTTTCTCTCTCTCCTCTCTGCTTCTTCTTCCAGGAAACCCACTCTTGCTCAAGAAACCGCAGCATTATACAATTCTGCGAGCTGCGGGCCCTCAATAGTGGAATCATTGCGGAGTGGCTCTTAATGATTCCGTTTGAAGAGAAGTTTTCACTTCTCCAGAACTAGGGATTTCACAATGCAGGGAGAGATTTTTTTTTAAGGGCATTAAAAATAGTGAGTTTGTTTCTACTTCCTTTGACCTAAACTGCCTCCTACAGAGAGCTGCACTTCACTAAAGTGCATTTTGATGATCTCCTCTCTGCGACTTCTCGCTTGTCTTTGGCAGAGGGTGCCAAAACATACGCGAAGAGCCCTTGGGCGAAATCTTCGCTTTAGGACAGGGTAGTTATTCCTTCYATGAAACGCTAATATGTGACAGTACAGGCCCTCATAAAAATAAAAATAATTATTAATAAYAACTATATTAATATAGACGTTTAATGTGGGAGTGCAGGTAACTCCGTCAGGCCGAGATCCTACTTCTAATGGAATCCCCCCCACAAAAAATTAAGGAAAAGTAATTCCTCCTCCTGCTAATATTCACCTACACAAAACTGGAAGTAAAGGAGGAGTGTATTAAAGAAAAAGAAAAGGAAAAAAAAAAAAAGAAGAAGAAGAAGAAGCATTTCTTACTTGAGCATCTGTGAGCCCCAGCATTGCCGCGAGTTGCTTTCTGTCCGGTTTGGTGACATATTTCTGGATTTCGAACCGCTTTTCTAAGCCTTTCCTCTGCAGGTTGGAGAAAACTGCCCTGGACCAGGAGCGTTTCCTCTTGTACGTCTGAGGCAGCGTGTCCTTGGTTAAAACCGCGTACGGACCTGGCGTTGGGGACGAGACACAGGGAGGGAGAGGGGACAGGGGAGTGTGCTATTAGCCTCGAGGCCTCGCAAGAAGCAGTAAAAAGGCTCAAGCAGCGTCGCGGCGCGCAGGGAAGGCCCTGCCTGCCGCCTGGGTGCCGTTTCTGACAGCGGGTGTTTGCTCGGAAAAGGACGGCGCGTTTTGCACACTCGGATATTTTCCTTTCCCGCCCCGGGAAGGCCTCCCCCGGCCTGCCCTGAGCGCGGGGGAAGAGGGGGTCGCAGGGGAGGGGATGTACCTGGAAAAGTGTCTTGAAACTGGTGCTGCACTGAGCTCCTGGGGGTTGTGTTTAAGGGAGCCAGGATAGCAGAGGCCTCGTTAATGGGCTCTAGAGACGCGAAGAACTGGCTGGCGGAGGGCTGCAAGCTGGGGAGATGAACCCCGCTTGGGCGGCCGGCAGTTAATAAGGAGGTCAGATCTGTGAGCACAGGAACAAGGAGAGCTCTGTTAGACCCGCACTCGGACCTCCCCCCACGCGTCTAGGCACAGGTCTGGGCTCCCCTGAGGCCTGGGGCGCGGGGACACGAGGGTGACCGGGGGAGCCTCCGCCGAGGGCATCGGGCCCTAATGTCCTTCCCGGGGGATGCAGGGACCTGGCGCTGGGTTTGCTCCCTGCGCCGGGATGTTTGCGGGATGTGGGACAGGAGAGATGGCAGCAAAAGGGGCCCTGCGACCTGGGGGAACTCTGGCCCGCCTGAGAGGCTGTACTGCGCCCCGCTCGCTCTTTTTACACCTTCACTATTTTTTTTTATCTGTGAGGCGCAGCCTTAACTGCAGGCGGGACCGACGGCTATTTCAGCGGACGCTCTTAGAAAAAGCCCATTTGTAGCGATAACCGCGACAACCTTCCTGGGCTGCTTCAGCAAAGTTTTAAATGAATGCGTAATTACAATTAAACTATAACGATAGCAACAAGGAAGCAAGGAGAGCGCTAGCAGGGGGAGCGTGCGAGCCGGTTCCTCTACCTCTCAGCGTGTTGCCCTCCTTGACTTTGGGGTCGAACTCGGCCGAGAGGATGCGATCGATGCCGAACTTGAGGTCCTTGCTGGCGGGCGCGGGCGCCGCGCCGTGCGTGTGGCTGCCGGGCCCGC